TATAGAGTTATATAGAGTGGTTTGTGTGTTAGTATTTTGTATTTTTTTAAATTTTAGGTGGGTTCTTTAGCGGTTGCTCATGCATACATACATACATAGTGTTTGTTTGTGTGGTAGTATTTTATGTTCTGTTTTACTCCTTTTTCTCTTTCTTCATGAGTCTTGAGTTAAGTTAATGAAACGTAGGTAGGTGAGATTAAAAATTAATTTATTATATAGGTAGGCTAGGGCATAAGGTAATTTAGTTACATAGGTAGGTTAGGAACTTCTATTCTTTTACTCTACTTGGTGGTGTGTTTTTTGTTTTGTGTTTTTTTTTGTTTTGTTTCACACGATACACTCTACAGGTACGCGGTGGTTCCTGGTTTTAGTGGGATTTTTATTGATTGAATGTGGTAGTATGCATGGTTATATAGAGTTATATAGAGTTATATAGAGTTATATAGAGTTATATAGAGTTATATAGAGTTATATAGAGTTATATAGAGTTATATAGAGTTATATAGAGTTATATAGAGTTATATAGAGTTATATAGAGTTATATAGAGTTATATAGAGTTATATAGAGTTATATAGAGTTATATAGAGTTATATAGAGTTATATAGAGTTATATAGAGTTATATAGAGTTATATAGAGTTATATAGAGTTATATAGAGTTATATAGAGTTATATAGAGTTATATAGAGTTATATAGAGTTATATAGAGTTATACAGAGCATAAATCCTATATAGATACCTTTCTTTGAGGTTCTTTTCTTTGCCGACCGGTCGGCTTCTTTGCGTTTCTCTATTTTCATTTAAATTAATTAAATTAATAAGATTTTTCCATTCATTTAAGTTAATTCAGGTTCATTCAGGTTCATTCATTCAGGTTGAAGCTTCCAGAGGAGTTCATCAGAACAGTGGAAGATCGGAATGTTTGATTTCACGCTACGTTCGTTCATTTAGTGGCAAAGAATGCACGCCTGGCTGGGGTACGTTTTACGGTTTCTTTGCGGTTCCTTTTTTGCCAGTTGGCTGGTTTTCCGGCTGGCGGGTTTAACCACGGTTCGTTTCTCTATTTTCATTTAAATTAAATAAATAAGATTTTTTCATTCTATTCATTTCAATTAGGTTGAAGCTTCCAAAGGAGTTCATCATGGAGGATGTCAGGCCACGTTCAGTGGCCTGGCTGGGATACGTTTTATTCTTTTTTCTCAGTAATTTAACATTAAGTAAGAATGCATACACGCACACACATACACACACAATTACATTTAATAGCTATGTAGGTAGGTTAGATAAGCATAATTTTTATTATAGGTAGGATAGATAGGAAGCATCCAACATTAATGTAGTTGAATAGGTAGGCGCGTAAGTTTATCGCTTCTATTTTTTTTTTCTTGCACCCACATTACACGCATCAGCGTATTACACACACACACAAGTACATACATAAACACATATGTTAGTATTTGAGCGTTATTTTATTTTCATTACACATTCTAATTTATTATTACTGAGGTTGAGAGTAATTTAATTTCATAGGTAGTTAAGGGCAATAATGTAATTCTAGGAACAATCTTGTAATGTAAATTAAAACTCTGTAAGTGTACCGATAGGTAGGTTAATTGTAAGTTTTACATTATTATTATTAGGTTGGAGCCCAAGGCATTACGTAGGTGGTGGGGTGGGTGCCGAAAGGCCAATGAATTGGGCTCTTGAGTTTTGTAATTTTAGGTAAGCTAGGGCCATAATGTAATGAATAGGTAAGTTAAGGCTACGTTGTAACACATACTCATTAATAGATATAGGGTTTAAGTTTTATATTATTATTACTAAGTTGGAGCCCAAGGCATTACGTAGGTGGTGGGGTGGGTGCCGAAAGGCCAATGAATTGGGCTCTTGAGTTTTGTAATTTTAGGTAAGCTAGGGCTTAATTGTAATGAATAGGTAAGTTGAGGGTACGATAGCCGATAGACTCTGAATTTCGAAGTCTCTTGTCAGAGGTAAGCCTTGGTGGCCAGTGGTGAACCGGCAATGGTTTACTATCCGGACGGCAATGGTTTACTATCTGCACGGTAATGATTTACTATGCGGCATGGCCATAGTCTACTACCCGCACGGCTTCCGGACGGCAAATGGTTTACTATCCGCAAGGCAGTAGTCTACTATCCGCACGGCAATGGTTTACTATCCGGTGCCCTGGCTGTCGGTGAACCTCTGTGCAA